ATTTAAAGGGACAGCTTTGCTGAGAGAATGGGTTGCGATTGGTGGGTGACTGATGAGCACCCAGTAGCTGAGAACTTAACACAGCTGAGCACATGACTCCTTGTCCTGCATGAACTAACACGATGCTTCATGCACTCAGATGTAAGAGCATAGTGTAATGTGTGGTCTGTATCTATATATCACTTTTCTAGTCTGGACGACCACTCAAAGCGCTTTACAGTACAGTTTACTGCCATTCACTCACACACATTCATAAAGTGCATCATCTATGGCCATTACTTTTTCTATGAGGTGCAATTCAGGGTTCAATCATGCCCAAGGATGCTATAGCATGCAGATGGGAAAGATTAAACCCCAGACCTCCTGGTTAGAGGACAGCCGTTCTTCCCCCTCAGCCACAGCCACCCCTGTAAAAATTTCAAAGCTAAGCCTGGCAGTGCTCTAGAAAAGAAATAGGAGCTGAAAGTCTTTCTGCTGCCTGCGGTTTCCTTTGAGTCAGCCAGTCCTCCATGTCCTCTCCTACATGTATCTCTCCACCTTTATTTTGTTCGAAGGTTTAGAATCTGTTCTCCACATCCTCTTAGGTGTTGACTCAAACATAAGTGAAAGTAGAAGTTACTGTTTGGTGACCTGTTGTAGTTAGTGTCATATTTACATCAGTCTCAGTCTATTGTTTTTGCTCTGCAGCACTTCCTCATTATCATTTTACTTGTTCGGCTCCCGTCAAGCTGGAGTGTGACCTTTAATGATTTCATCTGTGACAACATCAAAAGGTTGCGGCTCAACTTGCCAAACAGAAAACATTGTTTCCGTGGAAACCAACTATGTCTGTAGCCCTTAGCTAGCAGTGGTGGGATGTAGGTACATTTACTTTGTTACTGTACTTTTTCATTTATATGAACTTTATTGAGGTAGATTTATTTAGGGGTGCTCTTCACTTTTACTCCACTACACACTGAAAAACTTTTTTTGTTTTCCAATTCTAAAAAGTACTTTGAGCCATTTAAAACACAATTTCCTGATGTACCTGGGGACCCTCTACAGAGATCTTATTTTTTTATTTGATGAGGTAAGTGAGATCAAAATGAAAGCTGAGTTTGAAGATGTGTATGGTCCAACCAGGACCACAGACCTCAGAGTGGGTCACTGGCTCCACTACTGTACAGTTGGATCACAGCATCTATGATACCTGTCAATAATCTAGTAATGACCATTGTATTAAGGATCAGAAAGTCAGTTTTTATCACTGTTGCAGCTGGTGTTATCCCAGCACAATATTTTTTCTGCTCTGATGTATTTCTGTATTATATTGTGCAGTTTCAAACCTTTCAGACAACCCCCATGATTGCACTCAGCCTTTCATTCTGATGTCAACTACATAGTTTTGTAAGTGTATCTCACACAATAGTGACGCTATAAAGGTGACAGACATATTAAATTCAACTGCTAGTGCTGGTGCAGGTGCTTAAAACCACCTCTGTGGTGGTTCCTGCCACACAGTGTGTGTCAAGGGACACATTTAGTCTCAGTGACACACAAACAGACTCACAAGGGGAAAACAATACATCAGCTCCACTGTTGAGGTCGGTAACAAGGCAAAAGCTGAACTCTTTTCTTTGGACTGCCCAGCAGGATTCAAAGGAAACAAATCATGGTCATGCAGGTATGGGTAATTACAATAAGGGATTTTCCGCAGCTGAGAGTGAAACAATAGACATGAGTGAATAATGATAAGCTGCTGGAGTTTTGGGGTCATTCAATTAAATACAGTATAACTCTGATTTTTGGGAAATTGTGGACATGGTCATACTAGAAGACCCAATTGTGGTTTCAGCAGAAAACAGTCTATTTTCCCAGCATGATTCGATAAACCCACAATTGGGGCCCTGGTGTTCAAAACCGAGCTCCTGCTGACACATCTCTTCACACTCTTTGTGCATTGTGTATGTCTCAGGTTGCTTTCAAGTACAGCGCACGCAGCAGACAACCCGTGGCAGATGAATTATATGTTGGTCAGATCCAATGAATTGGCCACTTCTGAGCTAGCAGTTTGCCAGTGTGTGGATCATAATACAAACGTTTTGATGCTCTTAGTCATTTCATGCTTATTCAAATAGGCGCTTATTCAAAAAGGTGTATTCAAATACAAGTGAGCATTAACTAAAATTACTACAAACCAGTGGGGACTGTGGGGCTTCAGGAGAGTGGTTGCTTGCTTTGCTCATTGTCCCACGGCTTTTAATCAAATTATTTGTAATAATTAATTACTATGCTCACAATTCAGTCCGTCACTAACCAGAGGAGCGTTTAGATTTACAGGTGATTCAATCGATTGGCTTAATTTTTAACTTTTCTCATTGCGCTTAACTAATAATGGATGTCAGGATATTTTGTGTATGCTTTCTTGTAATTTCATTTTCTGTTGCTTGAAAGTGAAAATTCTTCTTTCACCCCAGCTCATCAGAGAGGATTAGGAGGAGCTTTTCCCTGAGTCTGACAGGGACTCTTGTTAACAGCACTTTGTCAGCACCTTTGTAAAGAGATTATTTTGTGCCGTGCAGCGCAGATGTTGTCAGTGATTGAAGAGGAGGTGCAAAAACACTGCTTCAAAAATGTTAATCTCATGAATAAAAGAACAGAGGAATTAATATCAATCTATTGTCAGCTGCTCCTTCGCAGCTTTATTTTGTTAAACCCTTTAGAGGCTGGGCTGTCTCCATCATCCCCACATGTACGTTATGTGCTCTTTATTCTAATTTGGCCTGGACCAGTTTGACCAAGTAGTTCATGCTCAAGCTTTTTTTTAATGAAATCTTTTACATTTCTTTTACATAGTTTCTGTCAATATTTTTTTTCCATTGAAACATCAAATCAGCAGTTGACTATTAAAGATCAGGATTGGAGTCACAGTCATTATAGAACACACAGAGATGACAAATTCACAGCAGATGACATTGTTACATCAGTTTTACTTGGTTATGTGCTCGTGCAAAATACAAAACAGTGTTAATTCAGGGAGAAGAAACAACTGACGCTGGAGTCAGTGGACTGAGCTGTAGAGAAAAGCTTTTATTTTTATGGATTAATGTCAGGCCTGATTTTGATATTCTGCAAATACACACTTTGTGTAATTTTAATGCAAATTTTAAATCATTCATTATGTTTTTCATTCTGACACATCTACATGTATGAGGAACATGCACCCATGTTTGTGTGTGTGTGTGTGTGTGATAGAGAGAATACATTTTCCTGTTTGTGTGCGTGGAATATAAAACTGAACTGCCTCAATTCTTGATCCTCTCAGGTTTCCACAAGGACACATTCAATTCGCTGTGTATATAATCATTATACTGAACCCTTTGATGTATATCAGTGTGTCATATTGATTTATCCAGAAGACAAAGAGTCCTCCATTTGTTTTACTTCTGCTTTTACCTCGGTATCTATGAGAAACAGCCTTTGGATGATGTCATGCGCAAGCTTGACGGGTACTGCACAATTCTTGACAAAGGATAGGAAATATCAGATCTTCTACTTTCTACTGATTTCATTGACTTTTATTTTGTCACGATTTGAGCCATGAAACTTTGCACCAGGACAATGCACTAAACAACTCACATTTAAATCTTTACTAATAGCGGAACACATTGCATATCCTTGCATTGCAGATGAGTCTGATACACTTCAGTTGAATTTCAATTTCCAAGGGGTGTTACCACATGCCTTCATCCAATCCAAGCAATGAAAGGTGTAATGTAGAGCAGAGCAGCATAAAAAACAGACTACAGTGAGTGCAAGTGCAGTTTGTTTGTTCTTTTTTTTGATTCAGCTAATCTAATACAGTCTCTATTGCAGATTCAACAGGTGTCTCCATATCAGCAGCAGCATCAGCAAAAATAAATATGCTTCTGTACATAAATCAAACCCCATTTTAGATAAATGGTTGTGATTGGCCAGATCAGTGGATTAAAACATGAATTTGCTGATTCAATTTCACAGATGTTGTTAAGATCAACAGTGTGGTTCCAGAGGTAAAATTTCATGTATAGAGATTTTGATAATCAGCCATCACATTGTGACCATCCAAGGTAGACTTACTACAAGTTAAGAGATTGTGAAACAATGGTATATGCTCCTGTAGAAGTACTTCAATCGACAGCTGTGACTGGTGTAGCTCGCTGTTACCATGGAAGATTTACCACAGAGCCAGCATGATTTCCTTTTCTAACATGCTGCAGTTTTTCAGAGATGAGGAAAAAAGCCCAAAGGGCTGAAAATCCCTACAACAAGGTTAAATTCAAGAAGAAGCTGGAAGTCATTGGAAAGCGATGATTCACAATGATTTATGGGATGTGTAGCTCCTTCACCCTTAAAAAACGATCTACAGTCTTGTACTTGTGCCTTTTTCTGTTTTCCAATGTTTCGTTTTTGCTTAAAACTCTTTAAGCCTGAAACCTTTTAACAGTATAACACAACAGACAATTAGAATGAGTGGAGAAAATGAATGGGAAATTTACAATTTTTTTTCTAGTTTGCTTTTTAACAAACATTGTACACAACTGCACCAAAGAACAAACTATTACATTATTAGTAGTTTACTATCAGATTGAGCTGATCTATCTCAGAGATGTCTAAGAGCTGCAACTATTTTAATCTCATTTGTGATTGACATCTATACATATTCATGAGAGTTTACCAGGGAGCAGTATGAGTGCTGTCAGTCAGAGGAAGAGAGCGAACGAGACAAACAGCCAGAGAGTCGCTGAGTGAAATCTTGGAGCGTGCGTTGAAATTGGGGCGCATAGCGATGGGTGGTCCATTGTGATGGTGTTATATTCAAAGTCACACAGATGTATAGGTGTCTGTGCTGACAGGGCTGAGATTGAATGCAGCCTCATGGTAAATAGCTCCAGATCAAAAGTTTATACGGGCAGCTTTCGATTATTCACTTTGTCACTCACATCCATCAGCTGCTTTGTCGCAGTGAGCGAGTCCTCCTGTCAGACATCCATTTGGACCAGCACCAGCACTGGAGGTGCCTCAGCCACTTTGGCCTTGCGACGCAGCAGATGAGTCAGGCTCCTGAAGGATGGAGTGGCGCGGAGAAGAATTTCCTTGAGAGCGGACCGAAACTCCCTGCGGACCAGGCAGTAGAGCACGGGGTTGAGGCAGCTGTTGGTGTGAGCCAAGCACACAGTCAAGGGGAAAGCATAAGCCTGCACATTATAGAAAGCCTTGCTGAAGGGGACAAGGTCAAACTTTATGAGCACACCCCACAGAGTCAGCGCCTGGTTGGGCAGCCAGCACAGAAAGAAGGAGAGAACCACGATGATGATGGATTTGGTGACTTTGGAGCGACGATTTTGCCGACCTTGCTCACTTTCTGTGCTTGATGCCCCGGCTATTCTTCGGGTGAGGATCAAGCGCAGTAGCAGGAGATAGCAGACGGTAATTATGATGAGAGGAATGAGGAAGCCCAGCAGAACCTTCTGCAGCTGGTATAGACCCAAGAGAAGCTGCGGATCCCAACTGCCAGAGTCTGGAAAGCGCACCAGGCATAGTTCCTCATCTGATACCTGGGCGCTGGTGGAGTAGATGGCGTGGGGCAAAGTGGCCAGGAGAGAGACGGCCCAGATGCCAAGGCTTGTACACTTGGCCCTGGCAGCTGCTGCACGCCTACTGTGCATCTTCAGTGCAGAGGAGATAGAGTAATAACGTGCCACGCTCATAGCTGTGAGAAAGAACACACTGGCATACATGTTCATGGTGGTGACAGAGCTGATGATTTTGCACATCACACGGCCAAATGGCCAGCGGAAGTCCAGGGCTGTGTCCACTGCCCAGAAAGGTAAAGTGAGGACAAACTGGAGGTCTGTGATGGCCAGACCCATCACGAAGCAGTTGATGGATGACTGCTTCTGCCTGTAGCGTGAGTGCAGCAGATACAGAGCCAGCGAGTTTCCCACCAGCCCGAGTGCACAGACTATAGAGTAGACACACGCTATCATGATGCGCACCACCAGGCTGGAGCTGTCTCCTTGAAACTCCATGATAGATTCCCTGGTGAGGAGCTGCAGCCAGCAGTGCAGTGACATGTTGCTGGTGGAACCTCTGCTGGAGATGCCAGGGTTGTCCTCCTGCAGTATCTGCTGCTCACATGGCTCTGGAGCCAGTGTCTGAGCTCCAGTCTCATTCAGCTGCATGGCTGGACTCTCCTGCTCACATATCACTTTGGGCAGCAAAGTTGAAATTCACAAAAAAAGAGAGAGGAAAAGTTTACGCGAGCCTCATTGTGAGGTCTTCTGCTCCATCTGTGCCAGGGTTGGAGTTCTATAGCGCTGCAGATGCGATCCTCCGCAGCTGTTATCGTCTCCTCCTCTCTCCAGTAATACTTCAGCTCCGCGCGCCACGCCATGTTTATAGGTTCCCACGCGAACGCGCACAGCTCAGTCGCGCGGTCGATGCTGCGCTCCTCAACATGCTGGATGGTTGGACTCACGCCTCTGATCGAGGCAGACACATCAAGTATGCCGGCATGTCCGTCAGTCTTGAAGCTTTATGTGTTTGGACACAGGCGCCTCGACTGAATCACGTTGGCGCTTCGCCGGCTATAAAAGGGAAGACGCGGAGACAATGGAGCGAGTAATAAATGCAAACGTGCTGTGAGGACGTCTGTGCTCAATTTTTACTTTTTACTTGGATGTCATGTTGGATGACGACCATGAGGAGCAGGGAAAGGATCAAGGACACGACATAAAGCACTTTGGATGAGCACATTGCGCACTGACTGTAAATGCCCAAAATGATGAAGCTGTCTTGCGCATTCCTTCTATAAAGTGTGTCCCCCTCCTCGAATCCCCCGGCTGCTGCAACTTTCTAAGGAGAAAAGGAAACTGGGTCAGCTCAATGAATCGTTTGAATACAGCATGAAAATGAAGTTTATAGAAATTGTATAGTGACGCTGGGGTCCAAAGTCAGAGAGCTCTCTGCTCTGTGAACTTCACAAATGATCCCATAGACCAAAAATACTCTTCTCTGAATATTATGGTTGCAACCTTTATATGATTTATTTTATTTGTATTCTTTATTTATTATTCATTTTCATATTTTATTTTGCTTACTCGTTTCTCAAAGTACCTTAAACTACACAGTATATGCACAGTCTCTACTTCGTATAAGAGCAGCAACACAACAATAATGTCTAAATTTAACTCATTTCTATTTGTATGTACATACATATTTATTTATTTTACCTTGAATTTGCTTTATTTCTTGTGGCAACAATAAAAACCATAATAAAGAAATATCCAAACATTTTAGTGATAAAACTTTGACATCACCTAATGCCATCTGGGACACTATTAAGCATTAAGCTCAAAAGGATAAGGGGCAGATGGACTTGAAAATATTTTAGCTTTTAGATTTGAGAGCTGAGGGTTCCACTAAAATCCCAATAGGTTATCATTTTTTAAAACAAGATTAAAGCAGAGGACTCATGTTTTTCTCTAAATAAACAACTTGTGGATTTAGGAGAGTGGATAGTTCAGCAGCACAAATCACCAAAAGAAAATAAAGTAGAAATAAAATCATACAGGAGTTAATTACAAACAGAATAAAACATTAAACTGAATTTCTATTATAAAATAGTGTTTTCTGGTTGAGAACTGACATCATTTGCATCATAATTGTTGGAATAATGACAATGATGAGGCTTTTTATATCTGTCCTCCCAGTCTGTATTAATAGGTCACCTCTAATCATAATGTACTGTAAAACCACAGTTGTGTAATCAAAATTCACTTTTCCTCAGCATCCATTGGCTGCCAGCTGGCATCAAGTGGGAAAATGCATTGTGCCACCTGTTGTGGCTGCTGTCGATCTAACAGTGAAGCCCAGGCAGACTTCAGAATCACTGAATAAACAGTGTTAAATGAATCTGTCCACAGACTTCAAAGTATAACCCAGAAGCAAATAATTCTGTCACCCTATTGCTTGGCTCCTTTTCTCAAGGAGTCATTTCCTCCTTGTCTGTAAGTAATCTCTCTCTGTAAGTGTCTGAGCAAATTAAAAAGACATGATTGAAAGAAGAAAAAAAATATCTTCATTGTTCTAATCTGTCCTGACCCACCCTTTTGTCATTCAAACAATCGTTAAACCTCCGAATGCACAAGTGCTGACAGTGTTAATGTTCCAAGCATTCAAATGTGTGATGTATGTAGGAGATTTAGGAGAATATTAGATGCATGTCAGAAAGCAGCAGGGTCAGCTGTCATAAAAGATTTAAGATTTAATCAAATGTGTGAAGATTGATTATCAGACTGGCGGAAACGGTGTTCATGGACAAACCATGCTCTGCTTATTCCAATGGAATTGTAAACCTTTTGTCATCTACCACACATTCTCTGAGGGAGACAGGCGAGTGCAGCAACCACACACACACCTGTGTGTCGCTCTTGATTTATTGCACATAGTATGTAACAGCTACAATAATAATAACTGCATTTGTATAGCACTTATCTAAACAAAGGAAAAATAATCAAATCCATGGCTAGAAGAAGAATAAATTATAATAAAAAGGTAATTCAGTTAAATTTCTTGAGCCATGGAGCAGGTTGTTGTGGTTGTTATAATGAAAATAATAACTTCAATTGTACCTTTGTGTATTCAAGTATTTCAGCCTATTAATCACAATAACGTTGAGAGAGGATAAAAGTAAATCTGACTAGCTACTGGCTTGTATGGCAAGCTTATCAAAGCTTATCAGGGTAAATAAAGCTTTACAGCTTATTCAAATGTCTGATTGCATAGCTTTTGCTATGAGAGCTCCTGCTTTGGGCATTGCTGGGCCGGAGCCAAGTGCCTTCGGGATCTGTGTCGCCATTCATTTTGAGGGTGTCACAAAAAGTGTCACTGTGACTCTCACATCCTTTACCGCCTCCCTCGCTTCTAAGCCCCTTGCCAAGTTTGTCACATTTTTAAATTGTGCAATGGATGGAATTAGGCTCTGAAGTGTGCATGACTATAACAATTACCCCCTCATGTACTGCACATATTTGGCTGTTATATAGTTTACATATGGACACAACTGTGTAGATCTATAGAAGTATGGCCCTTGTTGTGCCCTCTACCCTGCCTCTCATCCAATGTCAGCAGGGATTGAACTGCTCACTGCTTCTTTTACAACATATTTCTGATTGCACAAACATGTTGTTTGGATGAATCCACAACTGAACACATCAACATGCCCATATGATACTCAACAGCTTTGTTTTCTTTTCAAGAGTGACATATGAAGGGAGCTGTACTGCACATCACACTTGGTGGTGATGCTGTGTTTCACATGACGACATCTAAACCTGTAACAACTATCAAAAATGACCCACAGGGTGGCATCGTTCTGGCTTGTTTATGTTTAATAACAACCAATGCAAATATAAAAAAGGGGTTCTCTTAAAATAGCAGAATTAAAACAAGCTACATGTTGATCTTTATTTGTGGAACAGAGGTGAATGTGAGGTCATGGTGCCAGAGTGATGATTTTTGGAGTTGTCTGAAGTCATCAAGCAAATTTGAATGCAGCAAGTGAGCGAGCCTTTTAAAACCTTTTTTGTAGAGCTTTTATAGAGCAGTGACCCATGGCTGACCCGACAGATTGTTCATTCATTTTCTGTTACAAAATCATCCAATAAAATGAGAGAGTGATCAGATGCTGGGCTTTGATGTCAATTTGTCTGGGCGTCTGACTATGTCCAAGAACACATGGTGTCCCAGGGGGCTGGAGATGAGGCTGGCAGATATATTTCTGATGCCACCACAATCTCATGTCAGAGCAGAGCGTACGGCTGCCAGTAAACAGAGCTGGCCTCAGGCTCACAGCCAGGATCTCCTTGATAATGATTAGTATTCCAGGATGTACAAAGACAATATCAGATTGTCATTTGTTATGCTAATATTTGATGTGGGTCCAACTCTGGGGATGCAATTCCACTTATCAAACATTTATCTATGAACAGACACTTCCACTTTATATCAGAGTGTTGCAACTCCTTTTTACACTCCTTTGTTTCTGCCCTCCATTCAGAACATGCAAGGACAGGATTCATTTTAAAACATTCTCCACATGAAATGGAACAAATCTAGCTTTGAGTCCTGCTTTTAAAGCTTATCTATTTCTGTTGTGTGAACATATATCTAAGGAGATCACATTGATATTTGTGACTGTAGTATTTGAGATATTTTAGGTTAATGTTTTAGTGGCAAGTGGAGCCAGCAGCCCTGGAGGGACACAGTGACCTGTCATTGAAACCCTCATTTGTTTGCACTGTGTGTGTGTGTGTGTGTGTGTGTTTGTGTGTGTGTGTGTGCGTGTGTGGACTCACCCTCACCACCTCAAGCCTCACCTCCGTCCAGATGCATGACAGAACCCAGCATTTACAAATGGGAAATAATTATCTTGAATTCCCATAGAGGTCTGTTTCCAAGAAATATAAATGAATAGACAAGTATCTAATGAGAAAATTGCAACTATGGCACGATGTAAAATCACAAAATTGAATCAGAACATTCCGCATGAATTTGCATTTCATTAATCCATCCAAATCTCATGAAGTGAGGGGGAACTAGCTTGAAATCACAAATAGACTTCATGTACAGAATGACAATAAGCACAGTATATATATTTATGTAGATGTATATATACAGTACATATATAGTTCGATATTGTTTGGTAAGAATACTTTATTAAGTCTGATGTGTTAGTGTTCTAATTTAATTTTTTTCCCAAACTGCCAAACATCGAAATAAAGCGACTGAATCAAATCTGGTTTAAAACAGCTTCCTACTCACAGCGAGTTTTCACACGTTACAGTCATCATCCTGCCCACAGTCCTGACAGAGTGATCAGAGGCAGAAGTAATTCTTGTGACTTCTAGACATTTTTCAGAAAGCCTGTGCCAGAACTTATCTGCACTTCTCCAAACCCTCCAGTACAAGCTTTTACAGCGACTAACTGCTGTGGTTTATAGGCAACAATGGCAAAATGTGCTGTCAGGGCTTATGTTGTTTTCTTCGACATCATAAGGATGAAAAAAAAAACCCCAGCTGTAACAACTGTCTGTGGAGACCTGAAGAAAGGTTTCAATGCTGTTGAGACAATTGTAACTTGATTCATTAGGTAATCACATGGATTTAGTCCTTGATGTATTTCTTTACAGAAATTTTATTTGTCATTCTGTTGAGATCAAACAAAGTGAGTGAAGAGTGAAAACTCATGCTGCACTGATTAACAACTGTGAATTAACACTGTGAAACTGGGATGTTTAAATAGATTATATAATTAATTATACTGATTAACATAATTTAACATAAATGAAGTGCACAAATGCATTTTTACAGACCCATTCTATTAATTTATGTAAAGAGTCACAAAACAATTAAATCATATGCAATGATTTTGCTGAAACTGATTTGACTATTGGTTTATCTGTCTGGAATAGTTTGCCCTTTAGCCTGATTAAGCTTTACACGACAGCTCTGCCGTTATTCACCAGGGATCAGAGTTTGTGGAGCAACAAAGTGAAACTTCGAAGGAAAAGTCTTGGACTGTTGT